GTTAAATTCATGGTTAAGTTGAAGCTGCCATGTTTCTGTAGACGTTATGCATAACGGTATTTGTCTTTTGTTTCAGGCCCTCCGGCAGATGTCCACCGTCGCGATGATGGACTACCAGCAGCAGCAACAGCACCACAATAACGTTCAGGCTCCAGTCTTACCGGTTGCTTCTAACTATGATACTCTTCCGCTTCTTTCCTTGTCGTTTTCTCCCGCAATACCATCTCCGCGTTCGACGCCTATTTGTCCATCCGAGAGTGCCGGAGTCAACAACGGTTCATCCCCGCCTCCGCCGCCGCCTGCCCCTCATTCGGTTAGCGCTTCCCCGGGTGTCGTTGATCCTGTCGTCTCCGCCAATTACAACAACAGTCGATGTGTGTCTAGTTGCGTTTATCCCGTTAGTTCTAAACAAAGCTTGGAGGCTATTGTGGAAGCAATTCGTCACTTGGAGGGCGATCAGATGTTCGTCGACAGTGGCGACTACGCGTCCGACAGCGCCGCTGAAAGGCGAAGGTCGTTGATGTGTTCTGGTGCTCTGACCGAAGTTGCGGACAACTGTGTTTCACAGTCTAGGCCAGCGATAATCATATCTCCTTTGTTGTAATGCGGTGTGTTGCTGTTTTATTACGATCGGATTACAATGAAGGAATTACAATGTACCTCATGCAACTGGTCGTTGGCTCGTTTGCTCGCACTGCGTATCATACAATGCAGCGTTCTTATGACAAGTAACATAGTAGCTTTTGCTACTTTATTTGGTAGCAGTATGAAAATACAGTATACAGTTGTTCATCTGAACATAACCTGGTAGAAAGTAATAAATAATATGATGATATGCGATGGTAATCCCAATAGGAAGGAATGAACTGCTTTTTCCGTTCAATACGTTCTTTATCATAGAACACAGTTTAATACGATTTATTGTTCCGCTGATGTAAGAGCATCGGTTGAAAGGTACCGAATGCATCCTGTTAAGTAACTGCTTCATTTTGCCAACTATTGTGCTTATCGTTGATATGTAAATATAAGCGAATTAAATCAGGCGCATTCAATACGTTTACCATGGTATTCAACTTCCTAACGGGTTTACGATTTCTACTTCCGGTTTTGGTGAGATTTTGGCTGACCGGCGCTGTTGTTCGATCGGAAAATCCTGAATCATATTGTAGGTAATTAAGTATATTAGTAAGCGTTCGACCCACCACGTAATATGGTTTCGCATTGATTTACTGCAGCTGTTATCACAGTATAATGGTACTACTCTAAGCTAAACAGCGGCAATAATGATTATACCGAATAGCGGACAGCTTCAAATTAATGCTCCTTATTGAAACTGTCTAAGAGATCTGCTTCGAACTACGGAGGTTCCGGGTTCGAGGGCGGTCTGTCTTATTGATGAATTCCCTTGAGCAATTAATTTATTACATATCGCTTCAGACTGGGATTGCTCCGTCCGTAGGGCGTAGAGTGCAGAACCGATAGATACTGTGTTCAGTCCATGGTTAGCGTCACTTGCCATTCTACCTTCCGATGTTTATAAATAATTACCACTCTGTGGCAAGGAGACTACACTATACGCATGCCATATAGGCAACACGGTTAGGCATCACTGGCAGTGTTCAGTGTAAAGTTGTATTGTACTGTACTTTTTGTTCGTATTGCCGTGAGCAGTTGTGCAATCAGTTCCATGGTTATCTACTTTGCCTTTCACTTTGTTTGCAGTTGCTTCTATTTACTATTATTTACCCATATGTTTTGTTTACATTGTTGAAGAATGAGTTCTTCAACAATTTTATATATGCCGTATTATTCCTTCACTCGCCGAACCTGAACCCACTGTGTCTATTAAGGACCTATGGACTGCAAATAACTGCAGCGAATTTCACTATCCACGCTTCTGGACGCAAAACGAAGCCGATGTAAAAACATTTGATTGTCTTCGCCTTTCGCTACTACGTTACCAGTGGCATTTTCAAGGTAAAACCATGCGATATCTGTGGCACTTGCGTTCATCCCGATGGATAGTCTAAAGGTGAAATTTCGACTCGATTAGCAGCAACAAGGAAAGTTTTCAACAAAGTGCACTTATGTTTCCGGAGAAGCCTGACACCAGAAAAATTTCGAAGAATTTCGACTGTTGTTCCCCCTCTATGTTACAAGCGCGACAGTCGCTGACGTCAGGTAGACGGAGTTTGTTCAGTCGATAGAGCGTCAGACTCACAACCGAGAATTTGTCTAGAATTTGATCTCTCACTCTTTTCCCTTGCAAAATTGATAAATGCAAACTCCCTGTGGGAAAGAGCATGAGATTACGTTCTATGCTTGGCACATAGCGATGAATTATGCTTTTAAAAGTATATGCCATTTCCGGCGAATGCGTAGAAACAGAGATCAGCGCCGTGCCAATAGAAAGGAGGCGCTACAAATGATCTCCAACCATTAATGCGTAATGGGGAACTGACATTCAGCAGTTGGAAATTTTTCTTTCCAAATGTCATGCGTTGGATTGGCATTACGTAACATGCTCATTGCCATCATATTTAGTGTCTGTTATCAGCTCTCCTGTACAGTATGACTTAACTACTGGGAAGGCTTTCGCTACTGTTGCGCTTCTGGTCTAGCTACTCATATCAAAGCAAAAGACGTACAAATCTATTACAAAAAAGGACTGCTGCAATCGCATAGGTGGAGCCTTGTAAGAAAATTAATCTGCCCTTTCGCTATCTACAGCGTTGGTTTCTGGCGACCATGCATCGATGATCGTTGCAAAACTAGCTGGACCATCTGTGATCATGGAGCAGCAGCTTTGTAGCAACTTGTCGTGCTGCCAGGTTCTGGTGTTCAAGTAGATATCCGTTATCTGATAAGAAAATAACGTCGCATTGCAAGAACTGCCTTATAAGAGGCCATATCAGCAGTCAACAAGGCACCAACGGAATGAACAAGGATCATACAGAAGTCAAGAGGCTTGTAGTTTTGGAAAACTATCGACAGGAGAAAACCCCAGCTGTAAGAAATTGGAAATAAAGTCAATACCTGCGTACCATTCGATCATCGTAAGTTATTGCATTGGCTTCGCTGGAGCAGAACCAGTTGCAGCATGGGCAAGCATATCAGTGCAAAAAAACTTCGTGTCAGACATGATATGAACCTCAAAAATTTACTTGATATATGAGCATCGAGCAATCCTTCGTTAGTCAGGTAACGAATAACTTCGTCAAGACCAGATTTTATGGGTAGGTGCACGGCCCCTACGCCTATTTGCTTAGAAACGCCGTTTCAGCAAGCCGCGGCTCCATTGTATTTGAGCACCTGCTGTGCTAAATCTCTCATCAGTTTGTCCACTGTAGCCAACGCGTGCTCAAAACGAACTGTCTTTCAAGAGCTGGCACTCTACATGCCACAGCATTCACATCAAAATGTCTAAAATAACGTATAAATTCTCCAAAACCAGATTTCGCGGTGTATGGCACCGCGCCAGTGCTCCTCACGTACAACCACGAGTATCATGCGTATCGACTGCACCTAGTTATGGCTGGATATTTCAGCCTTCGTCATTTATCGAACTCATAGACTGATCGGTTTTTATCCGTAAACTCAGCAGTCCTACATTATCCAATAAAGTTTCGGGTCAGAAAGATTAGTCCAATTCCCGATTGTTATTTTTGATGGACTCCGAACAATGATCCTTCTTCGGAACTTACATTTTCAAATGCACCCGAACGGTATTTTAAACTCGACCTTTTTAACAACATAATAGTTTTACACGTGACAGAAACTTTCGCTTTTAGTGTGGTGTTTCGGCTCCCAGCATTGTGATACTTCACAAATAACAATATGCAGATGAATAAATTTTTTTTGTACCTTAATTATATAAATTTAAATTGCATCGTTGGTACCAAAACGGTTGTCTGTGTCAAAATAAACAGTGTTTCCTCCTCTGAAAGCAGCACTGTTTTACTCAAACGATGAAGATTTGGTATTGATTTGATATTTTCGCTTTACTACTTAAAGGAAGAAGACTGCAAACTCCAGTCGAAGCCTAATTTCATCTATGGGATTTACCTGTCATGTAAATTCGTACATCATGTAAGATTTCCCTCTTCGATTTGCAGGCATTTTTGAACTGTTTTTGCTGATAGCGTCGTTGGTCCAAACAATGGATTATGTAATGAATAAAGACCAGAGAATGTTCGGATATGAATAGGCCTTCGCAGGTGTTTTGAAAAATCGCAGAAATTCAACGAGCATCGAATGACAGCCATAGGTCATCTACGAACGAAGTGAATATGAGGCGTTGCGGTGACACACGACTGTGCTTGAAACATTTGAATAGTGGGAACTTGCCACACTTACCTGCAGTCACCTTATCGATGTAAACATTTGATCATGTTCATAATAGTGAATGTGGATGGTAGTTCCCAATCCTACTGTCCAGATTTGTGTTCGAAGTTTCCTTCTGTTGGACAGAACTGCCTCATGGCAAAAGGTGCTGAGCAACTCCGGTTGTCTGAGCCTTGCTAGCCGTCAGTTTCAGGATCTACGATTGGTCTTCACAGTCAGCGTAGCGCTGTAACGTTAAATTCCATGCCGCAACAATAGCACCCTTTCTGAAATGGGGATGTCAAGGTTGGAACTGTGGCAATCAAAAATCTGACCAAGCTAAAACGACGTAAAATTAGGCAGAATGAGAAAGCCTGATGGCAGCAATCGAACAGTAATCACCAGGCAAATGCGAGTACTGTAAAACGCAGCAAAATGAAAGGAGCATGATTCGCCCTGTGACGACATAAACAAATTTCAACATGTATTTTGTTGTTCCAGTGTAGATTTACCGCAATAGTCGTTTTAGATGTTGCCGACTCGTCTGAACTGTCTCTAAAGGATCCTATTTGAATAGCATTGTATGAAGTAATGCTGACGTGCAGCGCCTTGCTGAATTATTATCATTTTTATCATAATTGTCGTCACCCTCATCTACATCCTCATCATCATGCCTTTTTTTCAAAACCAGTTTGTTTCTGCTTTTATTTTATTTGCCGTACCGCTGTACCCTCATTGGTCAGATTATTTTCGGAATAACAATACGTATCGAAAAATCCGATGATTGCAATGACTACTGGAGAAGACGGGCATTTTACGTTGTGAAGGGGACAGCGCTGCTAATCGCCTTCATTCAGATATTGAACACTCCAATGCTGCCAATAACCCCCATGAACTGGAAGTCTCAGCACAGCATACATTTGTATATTTTTGTCAATATTTCAATGAAATTGATTGACTGATTACACAGCGCATGAAAATTCATCTGAATTTCATCTGTCGTCAACTAAGGATAAAAACCACGGTATCAGCTGTGTCGAAACGGTTGTTTCCATGACACTAGGTAAGTGAGGACAACCGACAGGCAGCTGGCAGCGATTCAGCGTCGTGTTAATGTCATACATGTGGGTTATTCGGCGTGGGGTTTCGATAACCTGTTCAGCAGATGGTTACTTTGACTTTGAACTACTACCTCAACTATCAACCGTTTAGAGGGCAATGAGCTAAGCAGCTGCTGTACTTACAACAAAGCGTCTATGCCAAGTTGCGCAACGAAACTGT